AGCAGTCTAGACAGCAGTCCAAAACAAAAAGGAATTCGTAACGTAAAAATCGACCAACTCATTGAAAGTTTTCTTCTTCTCATTGACGCATTTGACCATCGCGGGATTGCACGAGTGCGATACCAGGAGGATGACATGCGTAACATGAGCCGATCTCGCCATAGGCGTAAAAATGTTAAGTGGGATAATATTTAGGTGCAGGAGTTGGATCAGAATATTTAGCTCAGCCATCTGGTTACAATTCCTATCACCGTGGATCAGCTCAGCGACTTCGAAACATTGTAATACCTCCGCCTTCGAGACCAAGGTAAGTAGCTTTTTGCGTCGTTCTACAATTTGTGGACTTATGACAAGACTATATTTGAAGAAGCGTCGGTGAAAATGAGGCCCCTTGCTTACCACCAGACAGCTTCCATCCTCATCGTCACAACACATTTGTGGACCAGCGTATTGTTGGCAATATCGTGTAGGTTAAGTTACGAAAATTTCTCCTAAGTAGGTAGCATTCTTACACCATCAACACTTCCAGCTCCGAAAGTACAAATCCATCCGCCATGGACGATGAAGCACGAAGAAGAAGTTCCACGACTAGTCAGAGATCATCACATGGCGTGTTTTCGGTACCCTACGTGAACATTTCACCTCAAGAAGTCTTCAATGATGGTCTGTTTTCATGTTTTGATTATGAGTTCAACATGTTTTTCACCTTTAGTTGCAGCTCCACCTCGAACGAGATCTCATGCAATTTCCACATCAAGCAGTCAAGGAAGTATTCCAGAAACGCCGACGCATACCGTATTCCCACTAAGATGGTTTGTTAGCTAAATGTTTCAATGATAAAATTGTGGTCTAGTAGTTTCCAAATTGTTTTTGATCTATTGTTCTCTTTTCTGGATTACTTTACTGCCATCTCTTTTTTTTCTATATCCGTATATCCCCGTATTGGGGAACATGAGGGAATAAGACTCATTTACATTACTGTTTTCGGCCCACGAGTCTCCCACGAGTAGCTCACCACGGTTTGGCGTGGGGACGTGATACACTCACATTTTACATTAGCAAACCGTCCTCGAAAAAGCTGTCCATTGGGGAGGATAAGGGTTTCGTTTTGCGTGTAGTTGCACACTCACTATTGCCTTGTACCTTACACGTTTAATGTGAGTTACAATCCTAAGGAAAAATCTACAAGTATTTTCTCTGCTTCTGCTTCATTTAATCCTTTCTGTCGCGAACGATGTGCTCTCTGAATAATCAACTTCGGTCTTCTTTTATCCTCCTTTATCATTACTTTTTGACGTCATACTATCCAAGGGAAGAAGAGGTTTAGTTTCCCCTGCTTGTGAGTTCCCTACAAGCTTCTAGATGATAGGTTGCACTCATTGACCCACAATCACAACTTACGCTCTTCCACTTCTTATTGGCCAATGTAAAAAAATTTTATTGTAACCCCTATGCTTCCGTCATTTCGCATTTGTTTCTCACGAATTCGGACAATCAGCCAGGCGATTGTTTATACAAAATTTGTTGACTCGCATGAGATTGTCCAAAGATATTTTATTAGGGACACTGGAGCTGGCTCAACTAATGTGCTCTGTTACACGAAGCCCATTTCCCCTGCTGTGTTGCCAACAATTAGCGACAATTCATTAGGAGTTGAGGCGTCGCAACAGTCTGGCAGATATGTTAATATCACCGAGGTGAGTTCAGCCTTTTCACAAAAGATTTTTGGAATCTAAATATGATATGTCACGGTCTGTTCAGGCCGCCGGTCGACCCCTACTGGAACGTGATGGCACAAACTCCCCACGTCCACTCAATTATGCAGAAGTGGGTGTGGGTTCAGAACCGGAACGGGTTCCCAGCAGGTAAAACTTATATGCTTCTTACTATGAAATGGTTGAAAACACTTGTTTAGGTGTTCCTCTGTTGGTCAACGTACAGATATTGAAAACGGTGCAGTTAACTATACGTTGATTGATGCAGAACGAACCCAGGCCCTCCAAGCTGCGAATGGAGAGCGCAGGCGTAACCCTACAGGACATTGATGAGCTACCTTTGGAAAGTTCAAACATGTTACCTTGCAACCTTTATTATACTTACCCGTTGCTAGGAATATGCGTTTTTGGGAAGGAATTCCTATAAACCGATACATTATTTTTGTCCCTACTATGCTTTGTACATCTGTTTGCCTAATTTCAACACTAACGGAGTTGAACATATTTGTAAATAACTCCGTAGGTAAATCAGCGCAATGACATTGTCAAGGTAACCCTTATGTGAAAGTTTGCTGCGGTGCTAGGAAGCCAAATTCGGTATTCAGCAAATTGTGAGTGTTGCTCGCCATTGTCTTTTAATAAGGCTTTGATTCCTAGTCGGTAGTGGCAGACTCTCACATCGTCTTTTGCTGTGGCTTCGTTATAGTTCCCTACTCCTTTGTCACCCATGTCTCCTACTTCTCGTGGAGCTGGTCAGATGGGGGTATAGGTACATTCGCCCAATTCTAGATGGACTGGCAGACCGCGCGGGGAGATTCGTGGTGATCCAAACGACTCTGGCGCCTATCTTTGGCGCACTAGTTTTGAGAAGATAGGATAAGTAGAGCCAGCTGTTGCTACTTATCTACGAATATCGCCTCGCAGTTTGCCGCGTCCATCCAGAATTGGATGAATGTCCCGGTCACATGTGGTCGTCGTTTTCGTGAATATCATTCATTTCTGGAATAGGACAGAAACTAGCCTCCTCATTTTCAACTACTCGGAAAGCCTTATTCGTTGATTTGCTCGCATTTGTTACGTTTTTTCACGCTTCAAAGATGTTTTTGGATTTGAAGCCTTGTTTCTTATCTTGTGTTTTCTTCGATAGCTTTATGTTTCTAGAGGTCTCCATCAACGTTCTTTTACATTACGGCTTACGTTTTTGCCTTACTACATTTATTGTGCTCAATTGAATTGTGTTGCCTATCTCTCGCCGTTCGCGAATGTCATACGTTGTATTCAGGCATGTCGACCTTGTAAGCATGCTAGCCTTCGAAGTTGTTTTTTGTTGCTTTCCTCACATCAGTATTCGAATATTCGTCATAAGCGATTTGCCATCAATCATACCTCGTCTACGAACAGCTCATTATTTGTGCTTCACTAGTCACAACTCTTCATCACATGATCTAGCCAGCGTTCGGTCAATTTTGGCTTTACCCATTGATTGTCATTGTATTTCGCATTACCCGGTTCGTTGTTATGTTATCAATCAAAATATTGATTATTCCACATTTGTAATCATATATTCGTGTTCTTGTTTCCCATAATTAAATCATTTTATCGAACAATACAGATGATTTCAAATACATTAGCTTTAAAACTGGACTTTCTCAGACATTTCCTATTACATTCAAAGGGGCTATCATAAAGTAAGATATATCTACCTGTACCAGACTGTAATTACATTTTCAGCTAATGTGCGCCAGTTGAGTACAAATGTTTGAAAAGAGCGACAATAATTGTATAAAATCACATTATTATACATATAAAAACAATATTCGTGCCAATTTATGCATTCCCTGCTGGAAGACCGCACATTGAACAGTCAGGACGTTGTTCCGTATTCTCGAATGTGCAGTGTTTACAAGACCACCTTGTTGTCACAGTTGATTCATGACCTATAAGATAAATAGTGAAGTAAAACTTCGAACAAGCAGTATTACTGAACAGAATTAATATTACTGATCGTCTAGATCCATCAAGTGGCTTAGTCGACACGGTAAGTCAAGATATTCACCCTCCCCCTCAATATACGACCGGATCAGACAACTCATGTTTTATTGCTATTAACGCTGGGAATGACGGTGACGTATGATCCCACCGTTATTTACAGTCGTGCATAGCAATAGATCATTTGCTTCTGAATGATTCATTAGCTTGGTCCCTCATTTCAAGCCCACTCTTTTTCTTGCAATACTACAGTCATCACATGGAGCTCCGCTTACTCGAAAAACTTTTCGTCGCTTCTAATCGAAAAGGTTGTTTTCGGATGCTGTTAGTGAGAGCTTGCGTCCTAAAAAGGCGACTAACGAGTGCAATGGTTGGTAATCTGTCCGTCAATACCAGTTATGCTACGGACAGACACCGCAGCTACGGAGACGACAAAGATATTTTCAACAAAACGTCTCTGATTACTCCTAATTTCTTTTAACAACGTAGAGCTGATGCGGTTGTAGAGGGAAGAGAAGGGAAATGGTGTACAAGGTCAGGTGAAGTGTTAGTGAG